CGGAGTACTGACTCTCTCTCTAGGTGTCTTTTTAGGTCAATTAGTTCATCTGAGTCTTTTACTATTACGAATATGTCATCTACATAACGGCATGTTATGTACATGTTTGAAAGAAAACCTGCTGCCAGTATACACCAATATATATTTATATATATATATATATATATATATATATATATATATATATATATATATATATATGTAAATATATATATATATATATATATATATATATATATATATATATATATATATATATATATATATGTATATATATATATATATATATATATATATATATATATATATATAAATATATATATATATATATATATATATATATATATATATATATATATATATATATATATATATATATATATGTTTACATATATATATATATTATTAAATATGACCGAAAAAGTAAGATTAATAATTCTAACACGAATTTTCTCAATCTTTCGTACATTTCTTTTCACTGTTGGAGGTAATTCAAAAATCAAATCTCCAAAATTCATTTTTATTTCTAGTCTAAAACTTATTACATTTTCAAAGACTTTACACATACACAACTGAATAGAACTTACGTATCTCCGATTTGATTATATCTACATTTGAGTGAGGTGGATGGGGTGAGGTGGTATTTAATAGGGTATTAATTTCATCAACACAAGACAGAACACGAAACAATGGGTATTGAAATGGAAGTGATTGTAGAAAGCCTATTGGTCCATATTTCTTGATGCTTCTATATTGGAGCGGAGTCTTGACGTGGGTAGAATATAGTTGTGCATTAATTGGCTGTTGATTGCTGGTGTTGACTTCTTAATGTGCAGTGCCTCGCAAACGTCAAGCCGTCTGCTATCGCTGTATCTATCGATGATTTCTGTGTTTTTTACTAGGATTTCTCTGGCGATGGTTTGGTTGTGGGAAGAGATTATATGTTCCTTAATGGAGCCCTGTTGCTTATGCATCGTTAAACGCCTAGAAAGAGATGTTGTTGTCTTGCCTATATACTGGTTTTTTTGGAGCTTACAGTCCCCAAGAGGGCATTTGAAGGCATAGACGACGTTAGTCTCTTTTAAAGCGTTATGCTTTGTGTCTGGAGAGTTTCTCATGAGTAGGCTGGCCGTTTTTCTGGTTTTATAGTAAATCGTCAGTTTTATTCTCTGATTTTTGTCTGTAGGGATAAGGTTTCTATTAACAATATCTTTCAGGACCCTTTCCTCCGTTTTATGAGCTGTGGAAAAGAAGTTCTTGTAAAATAGTCTAATAGGGGGTATAGGTGTTGTGTTAGTTGTCTCTTCAGAGGTTGCATGGCGTTTCACTTTCCTTCTTATGATGTCTTCGACGAAACCATTGGAGAAGCCGTTGTTGACTAGGACCTGCCTTACCCTACAGAGTTCTTCGTCGACTTGCTTCCATTCTGAGCTGTGGCTGAGAGCACGGTCGACGTATGCGTTAACAACACTCCTCTTGTACCTGTCTGGGCAGTCGCTGTTGGCACTTAGGCACACTCCTATGTTCGTTTCCTTAGTGTAGACTGCAGTGTGGAAACCTCCGCTCTTTTCCATGACTGTTACATCTAGAAAGGGCAGTTTCCCATCCTTTTCCATCTCGTAAGTGAAACGCAGCACGGAACTCTGCTCAAACGCCTTCTTCAGCTCCTGCAGATGTCTGACATCAGGTACCTGTGTAAAAATGTCGTCAACATACCTGCAGTATATGGCCGGTTTCAAGTTCATGTCGACTAAGACTTTTTGCTCGATGGTACCCATGTAGAAGTTTGCAAACAGGACACCTAGGGGAGAACCCATGGCGACCCATCTACTTGCTTATACATGTGCCCATCCTTCTTGAGCCCGGATGGGCACATGTATAAGCAAGTAGATGGGTCGCCATGGGTTCTCCCCTAGGTGTCCTGTTTGCAAACTTCTACATGGGTACCATCGAGCAAAAAGTCTTAGTCGACATGAACTTGAAACCGGCCATATACTGCAGGTATGTTGACGACATTTTTACACAGGTACCTGATGTCAGACATCTGCAGGAGCTGAAGGAGGCATTTGAGCAGAGTTCCGTGCTGCGTTTCACTTACGAGATGGAAAAGGATGGGAAGCTGCCCTTTCTAGATGTAACAGTCATGGAAAAGAGCGGAGGTTTCCACACTGCAGTCTACACTAAGGAAACGAACATAGGAATGTGCCTAAGTGCCAACAGCGACTGCCCAGACAGGTACAAGAGGAGTGTTGTTAACGCATACGTCGACCGTGCTCTCAGCCACAGCTCAGAATGGAAGCAAGTCGACGAAGAACTCTGTAGGGTAAGGCAGGTCCTAGTCAACAACGGCTTCTCCAATGGTTTCGTCGAAGACATCATAAGAAGGAAAGTGAAACGCCATGCAACCTCTGAAGAGACAACTAACACAACACCTATACCCCCTATTAGACTATTTTACAGGAACTTCTTTTCCACAGCTCATAAAACGGAGGAAAGTATCCTGAAAGATATTGTTAATAGAAACGTTATCCCTACAGACAAAAATCAGAGGATAAAACTGACGATTTACTATAAAACCAGAAAAACGGCCAGCCTACTCATGAGAAACTCTCCAGACACAAAGTAGAACGCTTTAAAAGAGAATAACGTCATCTATGCCTTCAAATGCCCTCTTGGGGACTTTAAGCTCCAAAAAACCCAGTATATAGGCAAGACAACATCTCTTTCTAGGCGTTTAACGATGCATAAGCAACAGGGCTCCATTAAGGAACATATAATCTCTTCCCACAACCAAACCATCGCCAGAGAAATCCAAGTAAACAACACAGAAATCATCGATAGATACAGCGATAGCAGACGGCTTGACGTTTGCGAGGCCCTGCACATTAAGAAGTCAACACCAGCAATCAACAGCCAATTAATGCACAACTATATTCTACCCACCTCAAGACTCCGCTCCAATATAGAAGCATCAAGAAATATGGACCAATAGGCTTTCTACAATCACTTCCATTTCAATACCCATTGTTTCGTGTTCTGTCTTGTGTTGATGAAATTAATACCCTATTAAATACCACCTCACCCCATCCACCTCACTCAAATGTAGATATAAACAAATCGAAGATATGTAAGTTCTATTCAGTTGTGTATGTGTAAAGTCTTTGAAAATGTAATAAGTTTTAGACTAGAAATAAAAATGATTTTTGGAGATTTGATTTTTGAATTTCCTCCAACAGTGAAAAGAAATGTACGAAAGATTGAGAAAATTCGTGTTAGAATTATTAATCTTACTTTTTCGGTCATATTTAATAATATATGTCTACAGGAAAGACTGCTACCAAAATATACTAATATATATATATATATATATATATATATATATATATATATATATATATATATATATATATATATATATATATATATATGCGAACAAGCCTGAATGGTCCCCAGGACAATATGCAACTGAAAACTCACACCCCAGAAGTGACTCGAACCCATACTCCCAGGAGCAAACGCAACTGGTATGTACAAGACGCCTTAATCCACTTGACCATCACGACCGGACAAAATGAGGTGATAGCCGAGGCTATTTGAACCACCCCACCGCCGGCACTCGGATAGTAATCTTGGGCATAGCATTTTACCAAATCACCTCATTCTTTGGGGCACACGTGAGGAACACAAATGCGAACAAGCCTGAATGGTCCCCAGGACAATATGCAACTGAAAACTCACACCCCAGAAGTGACTCGAACCCATACTCCCAGGAGCAAACGCAACTGGTATGTACAAGACGCATTTGTGTTCCTCACGTGTGCCCCAAAGAATGAGGTGATTTGGTAAAATGCTATGCCCAAGATTACTATCCGAGTGCCGGCGGTGGGGTGGTTCAAATAGCCTCGGCTATCACCTCATTTTGTCCGGTCGTGATGGTCAAGTGGATTAAGGCGTCTTGTACATACCAGTTGCGTTTGCTCCTGGGAGTATGGGTTCGAGTCACTTCTGGGGTGTGAGTTTTCAGTTGCATATTGTCCTGGGGACCATTCAGGCTTGTTCGCATTTGTGTTCCTCACGTGTGCCCCAAAGAATGAGGTGATTTGGTAAAATGCTATGCCCAAGATTACTATCCGAGTGCCGGCGGTGGGGTGGTTCAAATAGCCTCGGCTATCACCTCATTTTGTCCGGTCTTGATGGTCAAGTGGATTAAGGCGTCTTGTACATACCAGTTGCGTTTGCTCCTGGGAGTATGGGTTCGAGTCACTTCTGGGGTGTGAGTTTTCAGTTGCATATTGTCCTGGGGACCATTCAGGCTTGTTCGCATTTGTGTTCCTCACGTGTGCCCCAAAGAATGAGGTGATTTGGTAAAATTCTATGCCCAAGATTACTATCCGAGTGCCGGCGGTGGGGTGGTTCAAATAGCCTCGGCTATCACCTCATTTTGTCCGGTCGTGATGGTCAAGTGGATTAAGGCGTCTTGTACATACCAGTTGCGTTTGCTCCTGGGAGTATGGGTTCGAGTCACTTCTGGGGTGTGAGTTTTCAGTTTATATATATATATATATATATATATATATATATATATATATATGACCGAAAAAGTAAGATTAATAATTCTAACACGAATTTTCTCAATCTTTCGTACATTACGCTTCACTGTTGGAGGTAAATCAAAAATCACTTCTCCAAAAATCATTAGACTAGAAATAAAAATGAATTTTGGAGAAGTGATTTTTGATTTACCTCCAACAGTGAAGCGTAATGTACGAAAGATTGAGAAAATTCGTGTTAGAATTATTAATCTTACTTTTTCGGTCATATTTAATAATATATGTCTACAGGAAAGACTGCTACCAAAATATACATATATATATATATATATATATATATATATATATATATATATATATATATATATATATATATATATATATATATATATATATATATATATATATAATAATAAACAACTAATTTTACTAAAAAAAATCAGTACGTACCTTGAGGGTGGTGGTGGGTTCAACTGTGTCTCTGTGGTAATTCCAACGTGTGAGAAAGTCCTCTTGGACTGTGAAGTTGTCTGAGACGAGCATGAAGTTTGGCTGAGAGAGGGAGAAGGGCAGCCATTTCTCTATGTCACCCTCCCACTTCTCACCCTCGCCTTGTGCTCCGTCAGGTGTCGGGTTCCTGCCAACAATCAGAGTTTTAATGAGTTTTGTCAACAACGTCACAATAGATCTTAATGCTGATTATTCAGGCAACGTGTTGACAACGGACACATCCACAAGGACTTTGATGAGGGTTCGAACTTACGCACGGGATGTTCTCAGACGCGCCGTAATCAACTATACCACCACATGGTAAAAAAAATTGCAACCTGGCGTGATACTGCCCCCACTAGGATCCCGAAGCTCTCCGAAACACAACCGGAATTTCACACAACATTTCGTAACTTAATTACCTTTATTTATTCAATGCTTGAAGACGTGTGTGTAAACTTTAGGCTCTGGAGCGGGCAGCAGAGGAAGAGGTTACGTCACTGGTGGTGTAGAGGTATCACTCGTCACGCACCTCGCGAGAAATTTGGTCTGGGATCGAATCCCGGCCAGAGAGGATTTACTGGGAGCCAAGGTTTGGCTAGGATTGGTTAGATAGAAGTGTTCGACCGTGTTCACCCAGCAGTAATTGGGTGCCTGGTTATTAACCGATTGCCGGGTTGTGTTCCAGGATATATCAAGTAGGATAAGGCTTACCATGAGCAATGGGAAGGGGGGAACTATTATCCTCACACAGGAGTCTGAAATCGTCTGCTCCTCTACCTACCTGTGTAAAACACTGAAGTAGAGTAAGTTGTCGTACGTAGCAGAGAAAATATTGATAAAAGAATATATACACCGAGAAATATGCGCTAAAATATATATATATATATATATATATATATATATATATATATATATATATATATATATATATATATATATATATATATTTAGGTATAAGGTATATATTTAGTTCAAGAAGGCTGCTTGTACTAAAGAGGCACCCTTCTTGAGCCCGGATGGGCACATGTATAAGCAAGTAGATGGGGTCGCCTTGGGTTCTCCCCTAGGTGTCCTGTTTGCGAACTTCTACATGGGTACCATCGAGCAAAAAGTCTTAGTCGACATGAACTTGAAACCGGCCATATACTGCAGGTATGTTGACGACATTTTTACACAGGTACCTGATGTCAGACATCTGCAGGAGCTGAAGGAGGCATTTGAGCAGAATTCTGTGTTGCGTTTCACTTACGAGATGGAGAAGGATGGGAAGCTGCCCTTTCTAGATGTAACATTCATGGAAAGGAGAGGAGTTTTCCACACTGCAGTCTACACTAAGGAAACAAACATAGGAATGTGCCTCAATGCCAACAGTGACTGCCCAGACAGGTACAAGAGGAGTGTTGTTAACGCTTATGTCGACCGTGCTCTCAGCCACAGCTCAGGATGGAAGCAAGTCGACGAAGAACTCTGTAGGGTAAGGCAGGCCCTAATCAACAACGGCTTCTCCAATGGTTTCGTTGAAGACATCATAAGAAGGAAAGTGAAACGCCATGCAACCGCTGAAGAGACAACTAACAAAACACCTATACCCCCTATTAGATTATTTTACAGGAACTTCTTTTCCACAGCTCATAAAACGGAGGAAAGGATCCTGAAAGATATTGTTAATAGAAACGTTATCCCTACAGACAAAAATCAGAAGATACAACTGACGATTTACTATAAAACTAAAAAAACGTCCAGCCTACTCATGAGAAACCCTCCAGACACAAAGCAGAACGCTTTAAAAGAGACCAACGTCGTCTATGCCTTCAAATGCCCTCTTGGGGACTGTAAGCCTCATAAAACTCAGTATATAGGCAAGACAACAACATCTCTTTCCAGGGTATTAACGATGCATAAGCAACAGGGCTCCATTAAGGAACATATAATCTCTTCCCACAACCAAACCATCACCAGAGAAATCTTAGCAAACAACACATAAATCATCGATAGATACAGCGATAGCAGGAGGCTTGACATCTGCGAGGCACTACACATCAAGAAGTCAACACCAGCAATCAACAGCCAATTAATGCACAACTATATTCTACCCACTTCAAGACTCCGCTCCAATATAGAAGCATCAAGAAATATGGGCCAATAGGCCCTCTGCAATTACTTCCATTCTTACCTTCAATACCCATTGTTTCGTGTTCTATCCTGTGGAAAGTTTTGTTCACCTCATCCGAAACTGTTGTAACATATCACCTCACCCAAAATGCGGGTATAAAATGAAAAATGAAAGCTGTTTAAATCATAGCATAAGTAAGAACTCTGTTTAGTGTTTGCAGGTAATAGTTGTGTGTGTGTAAACTAAAAGTCTTTGAAAATGTAATAAGTTATTACGAAACGCGTTCAAGTGTCGCGTCAGACTAGAAATAAAAATGAATTTTGGAGAATTGATTTTTCAATTACCATCAACAGTGAAAAGAAACATAAGAAAGATCGAGAAAATTCGTGTTAGAATTATTAATCTTACTTTTTCGGTCATATTTAATAATATATGTCTACAGGAAAGACGTTGCTGTGGCTCAGTCTGGATAAGAGGGAAAGAAAGAAATGAGAAAGTGCACGTATCTAATATGTTTAATTTTACAATGCTTTTGGGTAGGCAATATTTTTTGTTGTTCCATTGCCTGTGGAGATATAAGGATTGTCTGGTTTGCCGACTTTAGAACATGCAAAATATAATTGTTCATGTAAGAAGCAATCCGTGTCTAGATATAAACTGCACAATTCTACTGATTGGCTCTGAGACTTGTTGATGGTGATTGCAAACGCCAAACGAATTGGAAATTACAGTCTCTTTAATTGAAATGTCATATCTGTTGGAATCACAGTAATGTGAGGAATGAGGACATCTTCACCTTTGAAAGGTCCTGTCAAGATTGTTGCTTCTGTGACGTCGCAGATTAAGTTTTTTACCGCAAGCCGCGTAGGATTGCAAAGTTTTGGCTGGTTGATATTTCGCAACATGATAATTGGCACGCCGATTTCCAATTGCCATACGTGTGATGGTATCCCTGGCAGATCGAGTGAATAAAAAAATCTGTTTGATAATTAACCGCTTCATCTGCTTCCTCAACAGTGTCGACGGACTTGTATGTGCCTGCCTCGCTTTGAATGTTAGCCTGAATAATATTGTTAGGTTCGTGTGCCGGATGCTTTGGAAATGTTGCACGTGGGAGTTTCAGTGAATTGCATGTTCAGAGGCAATTTCAAAGCCGAGGTAGCAGTTAACTCTTCCACCTGGTAACAATGTCGCAGCTATTCCGAACGAAGCAAGAGCTATGGCTATGCTATTTTAGGATCGAAATGCTGCCAGAATCAATCTAATTAGGAAGGTATTACCAGTTCTTCCTGGCCCATCTAAGAAGATTTCTCCAAGCCTGTTATTAACAGTTTGAACTATTTGATTGTAAATGCCTTTTCGCTCAAGCGTTAGATCAGGAATATTTGATTGCACATACGACAGCAGATCACCCGTGTTGTAACTTTGTTCACGACGCAATTCTACATCGAACGAAGCAGCAGCAGATCGATTCGGTGATGGCATTTCCAATTGATTGAGGACTTTGTTCGTTCGCAATTTCTAAGCACAAATCTTCAATCATCATCAACGCCTCGTTGTAGATTTCCGTTGTGAAATTCATGTTCATATTTGAATTTTCCTTCCGTATTCGACGGACAATATCTTCAGCCATGTGCGATTTATATTTCTCCCATAACTCTGTTGGAGATGAAGGAGAGTCGGTGGTCAATATAATTGAAAACAATGCACGAATTTGATTTGGATGTGACGTGTTGGACGTGTCATTAATGCTTACATCCCAGTGTCGGTCGTTCTCCAATAAATTCAGAGCTTGACATGCACTATGGAAAGTGGCATCTGTTACGCCGTTGACAAATCTCAATTGCTGGAAGACGATGATCCAGGCACATTTACCAACAGCTTGTGAAGAAAGAAGCATTCATCATGATTGGAATGCACGGTGCACAGTCTGCCTATCGTAGTTTATTTCAATACGCCAGGTTGTCCGTCGACTCGCTCTCCTCGTTTGCGTCGTTCAAATAATTTTCTACTGGCATTCCATGTGTAATACGTAGGCACTTCCGAATACAGCAGTGTTTTCGCAAACGCGTCATTTTGACATAACGTGAAGAAAGCAGTTAACAATGTAGCCGGTGGATTCATAGCTGTTTGTTGCACATTTGCAGCTGTGAAATAAATGTGTTTTTCATTTTCCTGTTTTCAAAACAAAACCTAAAAATACTAACGAAATATTTCAATTCAAACGTAGATCAATTGACACAGCTCAATTTCACCACCAATTGCACTGAAAAATAAGAAGAACAGTTAAAAAAACGAAATGAAAAACAATGAAAGAAGAATCAAATAAACTATACTCATAAAATGAACACTATGGTAAACAACACAGCTCAATTCCAACGCAATGTCACACAAAAGAATTAAATCCAAATGAAAAATAATCAAAATCTATGAAAAATCAATTTATCAATGCAATCGGAAACATTGAAATGAAATCGTAACGTATTTTGAATAGCGTGTGTTACTCTTACGTGCAACAGATGGTGCTGTTTTTCCCCCCAAAAATGTTTTTACCTGTCACAGGTGTGGCATCTAAATAGTAGGTATATAAAAACATGCACGTATTCGAATGGAACGATGAGTCTAAATTTCAAAGTAATCGGAGAAGAACTTTCGGAGAGTACAGCGTGTGTTGCTCTTACGTCCAACATATCCCTGGAAACACAAACCGAAACTGTCTCTATTTTCCGCTTGTTACAACTTGTAATAAAGCTGTTACATCTTGGCTTAACGTGTTTATGACGTATTAGAACGTTGTTACAACTTGCTATATTGGTTGTTATAACTGGTTAGGAAGTGTTAAAACTTGTTCGAACGTTGTACCAACGTCGTAGTTTCGGTGTGTGTTTGGCGGGATGGCGCTATTTAAAAAAAAAAACGCATGTTTTTTCCTGTCATAGGTGAGGCATGTATATAGTAGATATATAAAAACACTCGTCTATTCGAATGCAATGCTGTGTCAAAATTTCAAAGCAATCGGTAAAGAGGTTTCGAAGATTTCCCCCACAAGAAAAACACATAAAAAGAGAGTTTTTCGCAAAAAAAACATGTTTCTTGCCGTCACAGACGTGACATCTACACATTTTGTATATAAAAACCAACTCGGACACGAATGGAACGTGTGTGTGAAAATTTCAAAGCAATCGTTGAAGAACTTTCGGAGATTAGCGATTTTGAACAAACGAACA